CGTGCGGTGCTTGAAGAAGACGAGGAGGTGGGCGGGCGGGCGGGCGGGCGCCTCGGGATCCTTATACCGCGCCACCGGGCTAGCCGCGGGCGGGGTAGCTCACTGCCGCACGACCGGTCAACGCCGCATGCAGCGGCCGCGAGCTCCCATCGCGCGACAGCGGCGGCGGCGGGGCGCGGCAGCGGCGGCGTTGCAGGCTGGCGGGCCAGGGCGGGCGCGTGCGGCTGGCTGCGAGTGAAGCGGCGACAGACGGTAGCGAGGCAACGGGCGGGAGCGAGCGGCGGCGCTGGCTGGCGAGCGAGAGGCGTGGACAGGTCGTGGCGGCAACAGCAAAGCAGCAGCAGCAGCTAAACTACGAGCTTCAGTTATCAGAATTTTCAGTTCAGTGTCATGATTTCGATGGACGCCCGAACACAACAGCGAGGCCAGCTTCAGTGGTCACGAACGGAATGGCTGGCTCACCTTGGCGTCGGCGTACTCTGCCCAAAACCGATGGACGGCGCAGCGGTAGGGGTCGGCTGGGAGGATGGTAAATTTGATTCGTCTTCTAGAGCAGCAAGATTCTGAACGAGGCCGAACACAACAGCGAGGCCAGCTTCAGTTCTCTGAATCTCCAGTTCCGTGTCGTGATTTGGATGGAATTGGAGACCGTGTCTTTCTCCAACATAAATCAATTTCCAATGTAGTCGAGTTCGAGTCTCTGTTCTTCTCCAACGCAAAAGCATGTAGTGCCCGACCCGGATTGGACTTGGCTGTAATAATAAGGAGGGATCCTCGACCGGAACGTCCATCAGGCCGCGTCCCTCGACCAGAATCTCCATCAAAACTCATCACATTGCAACTTTCAGAGAAACATCCAATGTCTCTGGCTGAGGAAAATCATTCGTCCAGCCGTGCTATGCCGAGTTCGCTGGCGGAAGAAGAACACCCGTCGAGCCCTCCATCGCCTGAGGCGGCTACACCAGAGGTATTTCTCCCCTTGAAAGTTACTACACCTCAGGCTAGCATGTTTGCATCTCTGAATTTTTTTAGCGATTTGTTCATGTTTGTTGTCTGAACAAGACACATATCTGAAGATTCAGTATTGACTTATACCTTGGAGTTTACATCTGTTGTATTGTTCCTCTATTCTAAACTGAACCATGCTATCCGAACAAGTTTGGGCCTACACATAGTCAAAAGTTTGAGTGATAATTATGTTCCAGTTGCATTTATATTCAGATTTCAGAGAAGGAACAAAGTTCCATGAAAAACAAATTGTTAGTGTGTTCCTTGACGTTATACACCTGAGCACCTCTACTGTTAGCACCAAAATTAGCATTATTCTTGGCATGTATATAAATGCTTTGTTTGCATGATTATTTGATTGAAGTAGGGCAAAATGACAGTAAACTGAACCATGAAATTTTAGAATCAGAAAGTAGGCATATACATCGTCATTAGCTCATTCTTCTGAAGTTGCTCCATGTTACTCCAGTTTTAGGGCTCCAGAAGCTTAACCATTGCAATTTCTTTAACCCTAAAAACAATTACCTATGCTTCTTTTGAGAGTGAAAAAAAACATGCCTATGTTTTTTTTGTGAGGGTTAAAAAGATGTCTATGCTGATTCATAATGTTAGTGTTTCTCTAGAAGAACTAATGTTACAGTTTTCTCTCTAACTATCCAGGAGGAAGAGCTCTGCAGAGATCTCCGAGGAAGCCGGCGCTATTATCCATCGAGAAACGAAACCGGCGGCGTCGATGGCGCTAGAGCCCTAGATGGGTCTGATGCATCTGTTTCTTTTAAGACAATACTGCGTCTGGTGCTGTGGAAGTGAGGAGACGGAAAAGCAACAGGAAGTGCTCATGGGCTGGAACGGCCAGATGGATTCAATTAGGCCTTTACATTTTGTCCAATCACTATTCTAACAGACCGGGAAGACCAAAGTGGGCCTAGCAAATGTAAATATCGCATCGAGCAACATTTTTTTCTTCTTCTTTTCGGAAGGGGCAATTCCCCAGACGCGGATTTTACCCTCTGGGGCATATGCTCCCTAATGAAAAGCAAAATCAAAATAATATTAAAAAATTATAAATTCTAAAATTTATAGATAGTCTGCTTCGTCGGTGAAAAAAAAAGTGAAACATTTGACGCCCGGAGGGCCATGGTTGGAGAATGAGGATTCATTTGGAATCTGAGGTGGGAGAGGTACGAGACGATGGATTTTTGAACACTAATTGTTGGCTACATGCGCAACAACGACTCTGAACTAGCAGCTACCAATAAAACACCTACACTCTCAATGCACCCAAAAAAATGGCAAAATAAATAAGAAATGAAATATAATATTCTAAAAAAACACCTTCTCAGAGTAAAAAGTAATCGGGTTTTTTTGAACAACAAAAAAATTGATTGAAAGAATATTTCATACACAACTACTATTTCATATAATGAAATGAAAATGACGAGCTGAAATAGATCATGACAAACATGATTAGGGTACGCTCAAATGTCAAAGTACAAAATGAAATACTAAGTGTAACTTTATTTCTAACGTTTACAATAATTAAACTAAAAAAGGTCTTGCATAATGGCATAAGGAGCAGGTTATATCTAAATTTTCGCCCGGTGCAACGCACGGGCATTTGTACTAGTAATTAATCATGGGACCAAATAGTAAGAGTAATACATCATGTTGGAGGAGCATACCTTGCCTAGAAGACGGGGCGGCGAATCAAGCAATCCTTGAGATCGATGCACCTGATTGCTGCCAAGGCCAAGATGATTAGACGACCGAGCTTGTAACTGCAACTGCTCTCC